CAGGAGAATAGCTTGAAGGTTTAGGCCAGGCACAGTGGCTCATGCGCCTATAATCCCAGCACTTTGGGAGGCCGAGGCAGGCAGATCACCTGAGGTCAGGAGTTTGAGACCAGCCTGACCAACATGGAGAAACCTCGTCTTTACTAAAAATACAAAAAATTAGCTGGGCATGGTGGCATGCACCTGTCATCCCAGCTACTCGGGAGGCTGAGGCAGGAGAATCACTTGAACCCAGGTGGGTGGAGGTTGCAGTGAGCCAAGATCGTGCCATTGCACTCCAGACTGGGCGACAGAAATGAGGCTCTGTCTCAAAAAAAAAAAAAAAGTTTGGTTTTCTTTTTGGTTTCTAACCTTTGTCAAAAACTCAGACTTGGTTATGTTATTTGAATGGATAAGATATGTTTTAATTGATAGCATTTACTTCTATAAAGCTTTGTTTTCTTGTGCTCTTTATGGAAACAATCATTTATGTTCTATATTTAAATTGACAGCATTTACTCTTTTTATGAGACAAAGCCTCTGCCTCCCAGGCTGGTGTACAGTGGGTGATCTCGGCTCACTGCAACCTCTGCCTCCTTGCAGGTTCAGGCGATTCTTGTGCCTCAGCCTCCAGAGTAGCTGGGGCTATAGGCATGCACTACCACAGCCGGCTAATTTTTGTGTTTTTAGTAGAGACGGGATTTCACCATGTTGGCCAGGCGGGTTTCAAACTCCTAACCTCAAGTGATCCACCCGTTTCCTCCCAAAGTGCTGAGATTGCAGGCCTGAGCATCAGCATCTTGCCCACATTTACTTTTTGTAATGAGGCTTTGATGAGATAAAAAGTTTAAATTGGAGAAATGGATGACGGTAGTCTTATTTTAGTCCCAGCATTACATTTATTTCCTTGTTCAGTTTTTGTCTCAGAGTATAGAGAAAATTCTTTCTCACAGTCAAATTGTATATGGTAACAGATTTTTTTCCGAACAGTTCATAGTACCATCTCAGTATTTTCAATTTCAGCTGATTCAGAACCTAAAGAGGATTAGCTGGACATTTTGTTTCAAAGTTGAATTGACCATATCTAACAACTGCTCATGTTTCCTTTTCATAAAATCTGCAAGTCAGACGAGAAGAGTCCAGAAGGCAATATTATCGTTGGTCATTTGTTACACATTCTGTTCACTTATGTTTTAGATCAGCATGAGAGCATGCCTCAGCAGATGTGCCTAGTCTTAGCTAGCTAGTATTTACTTGCATGTGACATGTACACATTACACAGTGTTGTTCTTGTGTGATAGAGCAGACCTGGATTATTTTGAACTGCCCAGTACAGAGCTAAATCCTCTTAAACGTGTTTATGAGAAGCTCAGATATATGCCCACGTGTGACAAGAAAAGCTTTATTCTAAAGGCTGCATGAAAAATGAATTATCTTGGCAGCACAAATGAACTCATTGTTGGTTTCTTCCTTTCTGTCCACCCCCTCCCCAAATTCCTCTCTTTTCTCTTCCTCATCTTCCAGTTTTACAGCAAAAGTCAAAGAGAGGTTAGGTTTTGTTTTGTTTTGTTTTGTTTTTTAAGTCCCTTAAGTGAGGATAAAATAAAAATAACCTCAAGGATCCCCAGCCATTTTAGTGGGAGCCACCATTATTCTTGAGATTACTTGGGAGGTGGGATAAGAATATACAGACTATGAAGTCTGTAGAATGGATAAGTGAAGATGATGCTGGTCTGGGACTCATATTTGTAGATAATCTCTTAAGACTCTTGGCAAACTGTGGAAGACAGGTGCCCACTGAGGAAATAGGATGGTGCAAGGACGAGTTTAGGTATCTACTGGGCTATATCCAGCTCTGATTCTAGGTTTATGTGTAATTAAGTGTTTTTAGATTCCTATCTGCAGTAAGGAAGAATAAATTAAGTTTATTTAATTTTTTAAGGTTGTCTTCTTTATGTAACAGCCCAAGATTTTCTGAGGCTGTCTAAAATTAATTGCAGACCAAATGGAGAAGGCTGAAGAAACAAGAACACCTTACTTTTACTTTTTAAAAGCTTTAAACATAGAACATAATAGTTGGGTTCTGGGTCTGTCCAAAAATATTCATTTATATTCTGAATTATAGCAGGTAACAGATGAATATGAACAAACATTAAATGGCTTGATTCAAGATGTTTATAAATGCTGGGGGGTTTTAGACTATTTTTAAGGTTAATGATATTACACCATATAACAGCTGTAGGAAAAGTTTTCTCTCAGATGTGGGACTTCCATGTGTAACATTACATAGTGGGCCACTCTCCTAGCTGAATCAAGTGAGTCTGTTTCTGAGATGGGTGAAAGAACTGGACTAAGGGCTGAGGGACTTTTAAATTGTGTGTGTATGTGTTTTTTGTTGTTGCTGTTGTTGTTGTTGTTGTTTTGAGGTGGAGTCTTGCTTTGTCACCCGTACTGGAATGCAATGGCATGATCTCGGCTCACTGCAGCCTCTGCCTCCTGGGTTCAAACGATTCTCATGCGTCAGCCTCCTGCGTAGCTGGGATTACCAGCACGAGCCACCATGTCCGTCTGTTTTTGTTTTTGTATTTTTAGTAGAGACGAGGTTTCACCATGTTGGCCAGCCTGGTCTCGAACTCCTGACCTACGGTGATCCACCTGCCTGAGCCTCCTAGAGTGCCAGGATTACAGGCGTGAGTTACCGTACCCAGCCTAATTTTATTTTAAAACATGCTGTTACCTCAGTAATTCTGCCTTTGGCTAGGTAATCTACCTTAGTGGTAGAGCAGAGGTTTGGAAATCAGAGAGCTATTCTGGTCTCTTTCATAGATTAACACTGTAAGGGAAGATCTAACTACCCTGAACCTGTTTCGTTATTGTAATCAGTAGGTCCAGGCTGCGAAGAAAGGGAGCCATCAGCCAAAAGTAGTTATTGAGCCTTAGGATTATGGCTAATACTAATATAATTTTTTTTTTGAAAGAGAGTTTCAGTCTTATTGCCCAGGCCGGAGTGCAGTGGCGTGATCTCAGCTCACTGCAACCTATGCCTCCCCGGTTCAAGCGATTCTCCTGCCTCAGCCTCCTGAGTAGCTGGGATTACAGGAGCTCGCCACCACATCCAGCAAATTTTTGTATTTTTAGTAGATATGGGGTTTCACCATGTTGGCCAGGCTGATCTGGAACTCCTGACCTCAAATGATCCGCCTGCCTCAGCTTCCTAACATGCTGAGATTACAGGCGTGAGCCACCATGCCTGGTCATTAGATGTCCTGTAAGTGTAAAATACACACCAGATTTTAACAATTTGGTAAAAATATAAGAACGTAAAATCTCATTGCTGATTTATTTATATCAATTATATTGTTGGGATGATAATATTTTGGATATATCAGTTAGGTAAAATGTATTGTTAAAATTAGTTTCACCCATTTCACTTTACTTTTTCAAATGTGGCTGCGGCTGGGTGCAGTGGCTCACACCTGTAATCCCAGAACTTTGGGAGGCCAAGGCAGGCGGATCATGAGGTCAGGAGTTTGAGACTAGCGTGGCCAACAAGGTGAAACCTTGTCTGTACAGAAATTACAAAAATTAGCTGGGTGTGGTGGTGCATGCCTGTAATCTTAGCTACTCAGGAGGCTGAGGCAGGAGAATTGCTCGAACCCGGTAGGCGGAGGTTGCTGTGAGTGAGATTGCACCATTGCACTTCAGCCTGGGCAATAGAGTGAGACTACGTCTCAAATCAATCAATCATTCAGTCAGTCAGTCAGAAATCTGGCTGCTAGAAAATTTAAATTCTGTATATGGCTCATGTTATATTTTTATTGGACAGCACTGGTCTGGATGATATTTCTGAAACTGACTCATGAAATATGTATCAGTGCTTAATGAAGCATTTTGCAAGAGGAGCACTATCCAGTAAACTTGTGCAGTGATGTGAATGTTTTGTATCTACACTGAATAGTGTAGTTGCTACTAGCCACGGTGACTCTCGAGCACTTATTTTTTTGAGATGGAGTCTTGCTCTGTCGCCCAGACTGGACTGCAGTGGCGCAATCTCAGCTCACTGCAACTGCTGCCTCCGGGGTTCGAGCAGTCTCCTGCCTCAGCTCCCGAGTAGCTGGAACTACAGGCGCCCACCACTACGCCTGGCTAATTTTTATAGTTTTAGTAGAGGCGGGTTTTCACCATATTGGCCAGGCAGGTCTCGAAGTCCTGTCATCGTGATCCACCCACTTCTGCTTCTCAAAGTGCTGGGATTACAGGCATGAGCCACCACGCCTGGCCCAGAATTTTAAATTTTTTTAAATTTTAATTTAAATAGCCCCATAAGGCTAGTGGCTAATGTACTGGGACAATGAAGGTCTAGAGGATTTATGGGATTTGTTTTTTTTAAATGAGATTGTTTTATTCGAAGACTTGTATACCTAGGACTTGTTTACCATATTGCAGACTTGTTAATTAGTTTAATATAAGTCTATAGATTTGTGTTTATTTTAATAATGATCAGTAATAGTGACACTTGCTAAGTACCAGAGAAAGGATTTGTGTAATCAGTTATTTATTGAGCCTTTAACTGTGTTGCTTATGTCTTCTAATATGCTAAATGCTTAGTGAATTCTAAGACACTGTGTGGGCTAACCATGTTTTCATCGAAGTCTGGTTCCTTTTTTTTCTTTATGAGGGCTCTTCTGTGAAAGCCAGGCTCCTTTTGAAAAGTCTAAACAATGTGCTACTTTGTTCAAGGATTTTCTCTTGAAGGGGAAACCGATGCTTGTTAACAGATGATTATGATTTTTTTTTTTGGTGGAAACTTTTAAAATTATGCTTTTGGTCTTAAAAGAAATATGTATATGCGTGTATGTACACATACACACAGAGTTGCAAGTACCAGTATTATGTAATATTTATTTATTTATTTTGTAGATACACAAACATTCGTAAGTACTGGTATACAGTATTACTTATTAACAACCCAACTATTTAACTTAATAATTAAAAATTATTAATTTATTATTGCTTCACAGTGAAGAACCGAATGTCATCATGTCTGGAATCAAGCGAACCATCAAAGAAACCGACCCTGATTACGAGGATGTATCTGTGGCCCTTCCAAACAAGCGGCATAAAGCAATTGAGAATTCAGGTAGAAATTAACCTGCCTTAGGAAATTATTTCTTTATTGACATATGCCTCTGCTAGCAGACTTATAGGAACTAGAATGAAATGAATTTCCACTGTTGTGTGTAATTTGAAGGGGTTTATGAGAGAGATTAGCTAAGGGGTCTGTTTAATAGTAATACACCATGTGTGCCATAAAAAGTGGAAGAAGATCTGGCAGGAACATGATCAAGTAGACAGTGAAAGCGAGACAAGCTGTTAGTTTTGGCGATCATTGTATGTTAGGTGTAATAATAAAGTCTATGATAGGTATAAAGGTGTGCTATAATTGTGAGATGGTCATAGGTGGTACATGGTTTTTAATTTTAGTAGGCAACATTTTAATGTGTATAGAAAAAAATGATTCATCAAACTTGTAGTTTCATAGCTACAAGGATAAAGCTAAAATTATTTTTAAATGCTTAATTGTGTTAATTAAATGTGTCATATGGTTCTCAGGTGTGGCAGGTATCTTGAAGGCATATGAATGGTGGAAGATTAGGAAACATCTATCCAGTTCAACCCCTGTACTTAGCTGACAGTGGGTAAATTAAGATTCAGAGACATCAGATTACTTACCTAACATCATATAAGTAGTTGAAGAGCAAATCATCAACCGGGTGTCTGTTGTTCCTCAGAATGTCTTTAAGCAAGCTAAAAAATATTGCTAAATTTACATTTTTAAAACAGATTATTACCGAACTTCATTAATGTTTATTTAAGTAATCTACCTAAGTTAATACTTTTAGCAGGGTAAAGAAGGCGTCAAAAAGTTATAGCTCAGATGTTGCAGTTCCACATAGGATCTGTAGAGTGGAAGTGGTGAAGAAAATTCCTATTTCTGTAAGAGCAGTGAAGTCCTACATATTCCCAAAAGGTCTATCTAGAAGGAAAATTGTTAAATCCAATCCCAAATAATGAAAACATTTCCCTGCAATATCCCCCCCTCATTCAGCTGTAATTTTAGGGGAAATACCATTTCCTTTCAGTAACAAGCCAAATAAATGTCAAAGTATTATGTAACTGAATTCATTACCCAAGAGCTTCACATGGCATAACTTTTTAAAATAAAAACAAGAATAGGGAAAAGTGATTGTTTTAATAACATCGTAACTTCAGTTTAAATTGAATGTAAGTTCCAAAATACCCCCATTCAAGCAGGGGCAGTTTTTTGTCTGCTACTGAGTGACAATATGCTATTCTTTTTCTTGGTGTCTAATGCTCACCTTTTTTCCCACCAGAATTTTTCTCAAAGTAGATTTGGTAGGATGCCTCTCTTTGCATATGTTATTTTGTTTTGTTTATGTCTTTTTTTTTTTTTTTTTTGCTGTGTCACTCAGGCTGGAGTGCAGTGGCGTGATCTCGGCTCACTGCAACCTCTACCTCCCAAGTTCAAGCAATTGTCCTGCCTCAGCCTCCCGAGTGGCTGGGCTTACAGGTGCACAACACCACACCCGGATAATTTTTGTATTTTTGGTAGAGACTGGGTTTCACCATGTTGTCCAGGCTGGTCTCAAACTCCTGACCTCAGGTGATCCACCCATCTGGGACTCCCAGAATATTGGGATTACAGGTGCGAGCCACCATGCCCGGTCCCCAGTATTGTATTTTATAGCTATTTCCCTCCCCCCAGGATCCAGTCCAGGTCATACAGGGCATTTAATTGTCATATCTCTTTAGTCTCTCCCAGTCTCCTCAACCCTTTCCTTGTCTTTCTTGTCTTTAATATTTAAATAGCATAGGCCAATAACTTTTATAGAATGTCTTTCAGTTTGAGTTTGTCTAATCTTTCCTTGTGAGTAGATTCAGCATTTTTGGCAGGAATGCCACAGAATGATGTGCTCTTTTTAGGGCATAATACCAGAAAGTACACGAGATCACTTTATACCAATATTAGTGGTTTCAGTTTTTCATCACTTGGTTAAGGTGATGTCCACTAGGTTTCTCCACTTTAGAGTTACTATTTCTTGGATTTCTTTTGTTGCTTGCTGATGTAAAGGCAGTCACTGATTAATTAGGCCTTGGATGTATTTTATGTTCTTTGTACAGCTCGAGATGCTGCTGTGCAGAAGATTGAGACTATTATCAAGGAACAGTTTGCTCTTGAAATGAAGAATAAGGAACATGAAATTGAAGTCATTGACCAGGTATAATGATGATAAATTGAAAAAAAACACCAAAGCTATTTTGAAAAAAATTTATACATGATTGAAAAATAATCTGTTGAGGTGGAGTCATAGTTTGCTTTATCCTCTTTGCTTTTTTTAAATAGCTTTCTTGTTTTGGGGAGAGAAAAATGCTATTTTTTAAATAATGCAATTGCAGAAAGGATTGAAAAAATATTACCTGGAATTCCATTCAAAAAGATAATCTTCTGATAGCACAGCAGGGTGACTACAGTCAACAATAACTTATTGTACATTTAAAAATAATTAAAAGAGTAAAATTGGATTGTTTTTAACACAAAGGATAAATGCTTGAGGTAATGAGTATCCCATTTACCTTGATGTGATTATTTATCATATGCCTCTATCAAAATATCTCACATATCCCATAAACATGTACACTGTGTCCCCACAACAATTAAAAATAAAGTTTTTGAAAAAAAGATAATCCCTCTTTGTTCTTGTGCTCACGTCTTTGTGGATTTTTTTCAGTGAATATACACATATAAATGTACATATTCATTGCAACACTTGTCTTTTAAATCTGCAAATCTGATGGATGGAAAAGGTCACTTTTATTTGTTTTTCTTTTGATTGTTAGAGAAGTTGAGAAGTTGAGCTTTTTTCTTCAGTCATTCACATTTCTTATTTTGTGAATTGTTTGTACATCTCTTTTGTAATTGCCATTTTTTAAAGTAATGAGTTAACATTTGTTTTTAGCGACTGATCGAAGCAAGAAGGATGATGGATAAACTGCGTGCCTGCATTGTAGCAAACTACTATGCTTCTGCAGGTCTTCTAAAAGTTTCTGAGGTAAGCATTCCTCTTTCCAGCCACTCATATTTGTTGTCTGAGGGGAAGTTATGTCGATATGGAATCCCTTGCATCTGAAACATTTCTTTTTGTTTGTTTTTTGTTTTTTTTTTTTTGAGATGAGTCTTGCTGTGTCACCCCGGCTGGAGTGCAGTGGTGTGATTTTGGCTCACTGCAGCCTCTGCCTCCTGGGTTCAGGCAATTCTCCTGCTTCAGCCTCCCGAGTAGCTGGGATTACAGGTGTGTGCTACCATGCCTAGCTCATTTTTGTATTTTTAGTAGAGATGAGGTTTTGCCATATTGACCAGGCTATTTTTGAACTCCTGACCTCAGGTGATCCACCCACCTCAGCCTCCCAGAGTGCTGGGATTACAAGCACGAACCACCGTGCCTGACCTGAAACATTTGTGACATTGACCTTCAGAATCCAAGAAGCCTAGCCTACTTCCTGGGAATATACATAGACTATACATAGACTTATCAATCTTTGTGTTCAGCCGTAGTCCTTCGTCATGACTTTCCACATTGTCAATAATCCTAAGTAATATTTTTTCCATTTTTTTTTTATTTGTTTGTTTTTTTGAGACGGAGTTTCGTTCTTGTTGCCCAGGCTAGAGTGCAATGGCGTGATGTTGGCTCATCGCAACCTCCACCTCCCAGGTTCAAGTGATTCTCCTGCCTCAGCCTCCCGAGTAGCTGGCATTACAGGCATGCTCCACCATACCTGGCTAATTTTTTTGTACTTTAGTAGAGACGGGTTTCTCCTTGTTGGTCAGGCTGGTCTCAAACTGCTGACTTCACGTGATCCGCCTGCCTCGGCCTCCCAAAGTGCTGGGATTACAGGCGTGAGCCACTGCGCCTGGCCTTTCCTTTTTACTTAATTCTTCTCCTCCTAATTGTTAGTATTGAGACCTTGTTGCAACTGGCCCTAGTGCCTCCTCACTTGATTGTGGTCCACTTTGGAGTAATTTATAAATAGATTGAATTTTCTTTGACCTTTTAGTCTAGTGAATGGCAATGACAATTTTTAGTTTCAGATTTACCTTGTTTAATGAGCCCTGAGTTCTACTTTTTCTTTTCTTTCCTTTTTTTTTTTTTAAAGAGATAGGGGTATCGCTCTGTTGCCAGGCTGGAGTGCAGTGGCTATTCGCAAGCACGATCATAGCTTCACTGCAGCCTCCAACTTCTGGGCTCAAGCAGTCCTCCTGCCTCAGCCTCCTGAGTAGCTAGTACTGCAGCTTTGTTTCTCTAGTTTTTTAAGATTTAAAATGGTCCTCCTACCTTTTTACGTCCATGATACTGACTTTTCGAAGAGGCCAGGCCATTTATGAATATCTCAGATTTTGGATTTATGATTTCCTTGGATTACTTTTTCATCCTCTCTATTTTCTTGTAAACTGGAAGTCAGGTCTAAAGGCTTGGTTATTAATAGATTTGGGTTAAAAATTTCTGGCAAGAATACTTCATAGTGATGCTGTGTACTCGATATTCTAGCATAGGCACCTAGTTCCAGGTTGTCCTGCTGGTGATACTAAGTTTGACCACTTGGTTAATGTGATCACCACTAGATAATTCCAATTGTAAAGGAATGTTTTTTTCCAGTTTAGTTTTTGACATGTAAATGAAAAGTATCTGCTCCTTTATCCTAGTAATCTGTCTAAATTCAGGCATAGGGGTTAGGATTGACCTGAAATAGGAGTATGTCTTCCTATTTGATATTTTGATAATTTCAGCATAACTTTCATTTGTTTTTTTTTTTTTTCTTTTTTTACTTTCTTTTTCGTAAGCGTTTTCAGCTAGAATTAGTCTCCGCTGAATCACCTCTGGAGTAGTGCTGGCTCCCTGGGAACCAGGGAAGGGCTGGAGGCTAACAGTAAATGGTGCTTGTCCTGTTTAGGCCTTCATATTACCCTTGGTGCTCTAGGGGCACCTGGTATTCGTGCTGTTCCTGATGCTGTCTTGTAGAAACTAAAGCATTGTTTGAGTTGAATTGTAAACGGTAGACAGGTGCTTTTAGTGTAGCACAGTTTCCAAGATGCATGTTAGAATCGTATTCATTTTCCTAGGGCTACCATAACAAATTACCTACCATGAGCTTCGTGATGTAAAAGGATGGGTTTATTATCTCACTATTCTGAAGTCTAGAAGTCCAAAATCAAGGTGTCAACAGGGCAGTGCTCCCTCCGAAGGCTCCAGGGAAGAATCTTTCCTTGCCTCTTCCTAGCTTCTGAAGGTTGCTGCCAATCCTTAGTATTTCCCTGCTGTAATTTCTGCCTCTGTCATGATGTGGCTGTTTTCCCTCTGTGTGTCTTCTCTGCGTGTCTCTGTCCAAGTTTCCCTCTTATAAGCGAGGAGGACTTCACTGACTTCACCTTAACTTGATTACATGAGCAGTGATTCTATCTTTGAATTGTTAGCATTTCTGATCTGTGCTATTTGATAGTCTAGAAATACGCTGATTTTATCCTCTTATGTTCTGATTAGGACTTATTCAAAGATATTTAGGTATGCTTTTGTCTCGTGATCGACCGTTTAATTATTTTTAGTTTTCAGTGGCAAAACATGTTTATAGCTCTGAAAAACCTTTATTATTGAAATTCAAGAACTTTGTTGCTTTGAAACACTAGCTTCTGCTTCCTTTTTTCTTACTGAAACCATTAGTTTAATAACACAGTTTTTAAAAGCTAGGCTTCCTAGGAACTTGACTATAGTGTTATCACATTGTAACAGAATACACTTTATTTTGTATGCAAGTAACTAAGACACAGAAAAATTCCATAGATGTCTGTACTGAACTGAAGGCAAACTTTATACATCAGTATCAGTCATTCAAAAATATTCTCTAATACATTTTACTCCTGTGTGGGGACCATTTTATATATACAGCTTTTTATTTTTATATTTCTTTCAGGGATATTTTATTTAGAGCAGTTGATATGTTTGTGTAAAGCAATGTGAGACTTTTAAAGTCAGATTTTATTTTCTATGTTAACATGTATTATTTCTTATTTACCTCCGGAAGACCCTACATCTCTAGCTGTTAGTGTTAGAAGCTTTACATAATTATTATCATTCTAATTTTTGTTTTGTTGGTTTAGGCTGTGTTAAGGGGTTGGGATATCATTTTATGAATGTGGGGAGATTTTGAAAGATTTTAAGCATGATCCTGTAATAGATGAGGTTTTGGAGACATCAGATTTTTGCCTGCTTTTGATGGATTTGATTAAAAATTTATTTGCTTGCTTTCATTTTTTTGTAGGGATCAAAGACATGTGATACAATGGTTTTTAATCATCCTGCTATCAAGAAATTTTTGGAATCACCATCTAGGTCATCATCTCCTGCCAATCAGAGAGCAGAAACACCATCAGCCAATCATTCAGAAAGTGATTCTTTATCTCAGCACAATGACTTCTTATCTGACAAAGATAATAACAGCAATATGGATATAGAGGAGAGACTCTCAAACAACATGGAGCAGAGACCAAGCCGAAATACTGGAAGAGTATGTAGTTGGGTGGATGTGGGAGGGAGCCACAGGAGAAGGGAACTAGTATTTACTAAAATACATGCTTGTTATCTCACTGAACTGTCACAGGAATCTTAGGAAATAGGTTTGTTTTCCTTTTATAATGGGGATACCAAATCTTTTTTTTTTTTTTTTTTTTTTGAGACGGAGTCTCGCTCTGTTGCCCGGGCTGGAGTGCAGTGGCTGGATCTCAGCTCACTGCAAGCTCCGCCTCCCGGGTTCACGCCATTCTCCTGCCTCAGCCTCCCGAGTAGCTGGGACTACAGGTGCCCGCCAACTCACCCGGCTAGGTCTAGGTTTTTGTATTTTTTAGTAGAGACGGGGTTTCACCGTGTTAGCCAGGATGGTCTTGATCTTGTGACCTCGTGATCCGCCCGTCTCGGCCTCCCAAAGTGCTGGGATTACAGGCGTGAGCCACCGTGCCCGGCTGGGGATACCAAATCTTGATGAGGTTTTATTTGCTCAAAAGTGTCAGAACTGAGAATTAAACCTAAGTGTTTCTCTTTTTTTCTGAGACGGAGTCTTGCTTTGTCACCCAGGCTGGAGTGCAGTGGCGCATTCTCAGCTCACTGCCACCTCCGCCTCCCAGGTTCAAGCGATTTTCCTGTCTCAGCCTCCCAAGTAGTTGGGATTACAGACATGTGCTACCATGCCTGGCTAATTTTTTGTATTTTTAGTAGATACAGGGTTTCACCATGTTGGCCAGACTGATCTCGATCTCCTGACCCTGTGATCCGCCTGCCTCGGCTTCCCAAAGTGCTGGGATTACAGGCGTGAGTTACCGTGCCTGACTTAAACCTTAATGTTTCTGATTTTACAGCCTGGGGATTCTGTGCACAGCACAGCTCTTGGATGCTGTTTACATAGGTGTGAAAGAAACCTTCCAGCTCGGCAGTTCTGTGCTCTTGCTCAAGGTCTTTCCACTCTGTCATGTTTATTCTCTCGAGAGCTGTCGTTCTTCAGCAGTTTCCTGTGAGACTTTATATTCTAAGATGCTTTAGTAGATGGAGGAAGTTTGACAAACAAACAGAATTGAAAAACATTGCTCTTTGATCCTGCCAGTTTGCAATTTGAGCTCCCATCTCAAGCTACTCTGAACTTCTTGATAAAATTTTTGGCTATAGAGTTATTATTGGATTAGAGCAGTGATTTTTCTCAGCCAGGTGTTCTGTGATAGAGAAAATTTCCAAGTTACTTTCCACATACTTAGACATCAAGAATTTGATTTATTTTTGATAAAAAAAAAAGTTTGCATTTATTTTTCTGATTATAAATTTGTATGTGTTCATTTTTCAAAATTGTTAAATACAGAAAAGTAAAAAAGAATAGAGAAGTTCATTCGTGAGGCTACCACCCCCAAAATCAGAACTCTTCACTATTTGGATTTACCTTACCTTTCCAGTATTATTCCTGAGCAAATATTACATGTGTTTTTCTTTTTTTTAGTTAAAAAGAATTTAGGAGGCTGGGCGCGGTAGCTCACGCCTGTAATCCCAGCATTTTGCTAAGTCAAGGCAGGCGGATCACCTGAGGTCAGGAGTTCGAGACCAACCTGACTAACATGGTGAAACTCTGTTTCTACTAAAAATACAAAAATTACCTGGGCTTAGTGGCGGGCACCTGTAATCCCAGCTACTCGAGAGGCTGAGGCAGGAGAATCGCTTAAACCCGGAAGTCGGAGGTTGCACTGAGCCGAGATCGCGCCATTGCACTCCAACCTGGGTGACAGAGTGAGACTCCGTCTCAAAAAGAAAAGGAGAATTTAGGGCATAATGGTCATAGAAACTTAACATGTTTTATACAATACATGGTCATTTCTGTATGTATTTATATAACAAACATTTAGCATTTACTACGTACCAGGCACTTACTTCTCATTGAACATTTTTGAGTATTACAAAAGGTTAAAAAGAAGGTAAATTCCATTGACCCCTTTCTCTCTTTCTATTCCCGTTTCCCAGAAGTAACCGGTGTAACAGTTTTTTGTGTATCCTTCCAAATCCTATTTGCATATCCAAAGCAGATGTAGGTAACTATTGAAAACACACCGGGAGTTACAGTATATAAACTTTGTATAAATTAAGGCAGCTTTTGTAGTAAATTGTTTTAATGCTTTGAGAGGTGCCACGAAGCCAGAAAATTTTGTAAATTAAAAAAAAAAAACTTAGTTATTCCATTTATACTTTTTATGATGTTGTGATTTCTGTCCTATTGAAAATTGTTCAAAATGAGAATGGATGTTGATTATGATTTTTTTCAGGATGCTTCTAGTGTTACTGGCTCCCATAAAACAGAACAGCGGAATGCTGATCTCACAGATGAGACTTCGCGACTTTTTGTAAAGAAAACAATAGTAGTGGGCAATGTGTCCAAGTGAGTATCCAGTTGAATTTATTTTTATTTGTCCATTTATGTTAATACTTTGGCATTAATACTCTTATTATAGTATTATACGAGGAAGAGGCCTCAGGGATTCCCAAGCCTTTAGTTGTTTAAAAAATAAACCACAGTCTAGAGACTTTTTTTTTTTAGACGGAGTCTCACTTAGTCGCCCAGGCTGGAGTGCAGTGGCGCAATCTTGACTCACTGCAAGCTCTGCCTCCCGGGTTCACACCATTCTCCTGCCTCAGCCTCCCAAGTAGCTGGGACTACAGGCGCCCGCCGCCACGCCTGGCTAATTTTCTTGCATTTTTAGTAGAGATGGGGTTTCACTGTGTTAGCCAGGATGGTCTTGATCTCCTGACCTCATGATCTGCCCGCCTCGACCTCCCAAAGTGCTGGGATTACAGGCGTGAGCCACCGTGCCCGGCCTAGAGACTTTATTAGGGTAATTTTGCTCATTAATGAGCAAAGTCAGAATTTGAATCTAGGTCTCCTATTTTTCTTTTCTTTTCCTTTTTTTGAGATGGAGTTTCGCTCTTGTTGTCCACACTGGAATGCAATGGTATGATCTTGGCTCACCGCAGCCTCCACCTCGCAGGTTCAAGCGATTCTCCTCCCTCAGCTTCCGAGTAGCTGGGATTACAGGCGTGTACCACCTCGCCTGGCTAATTTTTTATTTTTAGTAGAGATGGAGTTTCTCCATGTTGGTCAGGCTGGTCTCGAACTCCTGAACTCAGGTGATCTGCACACCTTGGCCTCTCAAAGTGCTGGAATTACAGGTGTGAGCCACCGCACCTGGCCTTTTTTTTTTTTTTTTTTAATCCTTTTATTACTCTTTTTATACAAATAGCCACAGGGTCAGGGGACCTAGGTCTCTTATTTTTCATTTGGGTATTATTTTCTCTGTACTGCCTCTATATTGTGCCATTCTGCCTTGCCTTGCACAATATCCACAAATATCCACAAAGGATAAATAAGGGGAAGGTGTTTGTTCCAAAATATTGCTAGAGAAGAGGCAGTATAATAACCCCTACACTTGCTTGTGTAGTTTGTAAAATACGCTAATCGTTAGGTATTTGAAAGCCAGTAGAGAATGGTAAATCCTCAGATACTGCCCTCAACTCGAATGTTCAAATCTTCATTTTGTCTCTACATTTACATTCCTGCATTAGCCATTGTATTAGTTGGTTTTCACACTGTTAATAAAGACATACCCGAGACTGGGTAATTTATAAAGGAAAGAGGTTTAATTGACTCACAGTGCCACATGGCTAGAGAGGCCTTACAATCATAGCGGAAGGCAAGGGAGAAGCAAAGTCATGTCTTAAGTGGAGGCGGGCAAGAGAGCTTGTGTAGGAGAACGACCCCTTTTAAAACCATCAGATCTTGTGAGACATATTTATTATCACGAGAACAGCATGGGAAAGACTCGTCCCCATGATTCGGTTACCTTCCACTGGGTCCCTCCCAGGACGTGTGGGAATTCTGCGAGCTACAATTCAAGATGAAATTTGGGTGGAGACACAGCCAAACCATATCAGCCATTTACTTGTGATTGGCACATCCAAAGCTGAAACCAGATTCTTCTCCCTGGAAAACCTATTTCCTGTTCTTTTGTTTTGTTTTGAAATGGAAGGATGTAAGTATGATGGCTTTCTTTGACTTTTTGTTGTTGTTCTTCGAAATCTTACTTCAGGTCTTTTTTTGTGACCCTAAGGCAAACCAGAGGGGTTTGTATCTAACAAGTCATTGAGACATGAGAATAAAGTAGATAAGTCTTTTCAGTCACCCATTTATGTTTATACTTGGGCATAATACTCTTATTATCCTGGTGTTACAGTAGGAAGAGACCTCAGGGAATGTTTTTTCAAGCTCTTTGTTGCTTTAAAAGTGAACCAAGGTCCAGAGATCGGAGTCTCTGCGTTAGTGTGTCTGCCATTATTTCCCTGAGAATAAAATAGGGCTTGGTAAAAATTTCGAAGACATGAGCTCTTACACAAATATATTTCACCAATTGTGTCAATGTGTGTAAATTTGGAAGAACTCTTGACTACTCTGAACCAGTTCTGTCTTTAGGGGCCTTAGCGAATTCCGAAAAATGTTGATTTGGTTGCCCGAACTGAAATATTTTTAGTTCGTAACAAAAGGTTGCTGAGCAGATCTTAAAGGCAGAATTCCTCCAAGCTCCAGAGCCATGTACTTGAACAGTATGATCTCAGGCTGTCTTGGAACAGCTTCATCATTTTTGCCAAGTGTCTAGGGATAGATGAGTACGTTATAAATCCTCCAAAAACGTGAAAATGTTAAGTAAATATTTGACCCTAATGTAAATAGATGGAAGGGTTTAAATTAATTTGATGGAGGAAAATTGATTACAGTGGTTAGGATTCTAATTGGTAGCAGTTTAAACTAATTTTCTCATGAAGTTTTATTTGCTGATCCCCCCCCTCATTAGGCATATTCCTTCTATGCTCTCTCTTCGTGATTTTTATCATATTATGTGGCCATTTTCTATTTTCATATATTTTTCTCAAATCAGACTGCAGTCTCTTTAGGGTAGAAACTATGTCTTGTCTGGTTTTGTTTTGTTTTTTCGAGACAGAATTTCACTCTTGTTGCCCAGGCTGGAGTGCAGTGGTGTGATCTCAGCTCACTATACCCTCCACCTTTGGGGTTCAAGCGATTCTCCTACTTCAGCCTCCCAAGTAGTTGGGATTACAGGCATGCACCACCACACCTGGATAATTTTGTATTCTTAGTAGAGATGAGGTTTCATTGATTATTCTCATTGATCAGGCTAGTCTTGAACTCATGAACTTGGGTGATCTACCCGACTTGGCCTCCAAAAATGCTGAGATTACAGGCGTGAGCCACCGCGCCTGGCCTTGTCTGGCTTTGTACTTTACAGTGTATATTTAGTAAATATTTGGTTGACGAATACATTGATATATTTATGAAAGGAAAAAATAAACATAACATACACAAACCTGGGGAAATTAATTTTAAAAATTACTCAAAGAAAAAAGAGAAGGCACAAATAATGTTAGAAATAGAAAAGAAGACATAACTACAGATGCCGTACTATTTAAAGAGATAAGAAACTATTAACTTCTTTATGCCAATACATTTAAAAATTTAGATGAAATGATTGTTTACCCCCAGTTTTCTTGTGGCCTACTGGGTCTGCCTGAATTTCCAGACCTGGCTTTTTCTGGGCCAACCTGTCTTGTAAAGATGCCATCTCTCCCCAAATCGATCTGTAGATATTCCGGTTAAAATCCCAACAGGGTTCATGACTTTCATAGGCTGGAAGGTAAAGGGCCAAGATCGGTCAAGAACACTCCTCAAGAGCTAGGCTAGGCAACTTGGCCCCCCCTTATTAGGAAGGATTAGCACTAAGCATAAATGAGCATTTAGAAGGCCTGACCATATTTTCTACACGAATCTAAGAAGGGGGTCTCATACCGAAATAAAGACAGGGCCCATAAAGGGGAGTGCTAGAGATACTAGTTTTACCATCATCATGACTTAAGGGAAATGTCATGTTTTGGCTTTCAGAGGGCAGGAAACTAAGTGCAATCTTCTTGGCAACCATGAGAGTCAACAGAAAGGCCCAAAGCTGTAACATCCTGAAACCTGAATGAAATCAACCCGAAGGCTAGAGGTTCCCTAACCTAAGAAATAAAAATATGCCAGTTTATTTCCACCTTATGTATTTATTTGGCAGGAAAGACAAGTTTGCCTTTTTTAAAAAATTGCACACCAAATAAGCAGAACAACACAAACTTTTAACAGAATGTCCCTTAAACCAAATTCATGTTTTATTTATTTTATTATTTTGTTTTAGTTCATTAATTTTATTGTAATTTTTTGAGGTAGGGTCTTGCTCTGTCACCCAGACTGAAGTGTAGTGATGTGATTGTAGCTCACTGCAGCCTCAAACTCCTGGACTCAGGCAGTTGCTCCCACCTCATCAGCCTCCCAGCTAGCTGGGACTACAGTTGTGGGCCACCATGCCCAGCTGAGTTTAAAATTTTAGGTGGGAGGATTGTAGTTATAGTTGTAGTTCACTCTTGGAGATTACTGTCTCCCTGAGCAGGCATTGTCTTCTTCTATTCAATTGTTACCACACTAATTATATTAGCTGATTTTGCTCCCCTCTGGAAATAGCTAAACATGGGGATGGGGTCTTGCTATGTTGCCCAGGCTGATCTTTGACTCCTTACCTCGAGCAATCCTCCCGTCTCAGCCTCCCGAAGTGCTGGCATTGTAGTGTGGACCAGCCACTGTATCCAACCCCAACTATGTTTTAGAAAGAAAGAAAAACGAAATGATTAACTTGCAAAGACTCATTTTGTTTAGGTGATGTAGCTGTTAAATATTGCAGGAATTTTAACCTTGTTTTTAAGTTTAAGGAGGAGTTAATTATTTTGTTAGGTTTTTGAAGGACAAAAATAATTCAGGTTTCTTTTTTCTTCTTCTCTAGGTATATACCTCCGGATAAGAGGGAAGAAAATGACCAGTCAACTCATAAGTGGATGGTATATGTCCGAGGGTCCCGTAGAGAACCCAGCATTAATCATTTTGTCAAGAAAGTTTGGTTCTTCCTTCATCCCAGCTATAAACCAAATGACCTTGTGGAAGTTAGGTAAGCACACTTGAGTTATTTAACCTAAATTGAAATACAAATTTATTTTTGAAGTGGAAAAAAAGTGATTTAACTTTAGAACATTTCCTGGAAATGTAGTAATAATTGAGAATTGGCTCTTAGTCAAAATGTAGTTGTAGGCCAGGCGGGGTGGCTCACGCCTATAATCCCAGCACTTTGGGAGGCTGAGGCGGGTGGATCAGGAAGTCAGGAGATCGAGACCATCCTGGGCTAACATGGTGAAACCCCGTCTCCACTAAAAATGCAAAAAATTAGCTGGGTGTGGTGGTGGGCGCCTGTAGTTCCAGCTACTTGAATGTCATGAACCCAGGAGGCGGAGCTTGCAGTCAGCGGAGCTCACGCCACTGCACACCAGCTAGGGTGACAGAGGGAGACTCTGTCTCAAAAAAAAAAAATGTAGTTGTAATTCACTCTCTCAGATTACTATCTCACTGAGCAGGCATTGTCTTCTTCTATCCAATTATTACCACACTAATTATATTAGCTGATTTTGCTCCCCTCTGGAAACAGCTAAACTTGTTTTTATAGATAAGATGCATATGAAAATGTTACTTCTTTTTATGAATGTCAGAATATAACAGAAGTAAATATAGTATTCTAACATGATAGACTAATGTTGAAAGTTCCCCATGATCTCACTCTTTCGGATGTAACTCCCATTCATATTTCTTCTGTACATATTTGAATGTTATATAGTTGTTTTGTTGTTACTGTTATTTCACCAAGATGGAATGATTGTATATATTATTGTGAAATTTGCTTCTATCATTTGGGTGTATTCTTTACTTTTTTTTTTTTTTGAGACGGAGTTTCACTTTTGTCTCCCAGTCTAGAGTGCAGTGGTGCGCTCTGGATTAACTGCAACCTCCGCCGCTTGGGTTCAAGTGATTCTCTTGCCTCAGCCTCCCAAGTAGCTGGGATTACAGGCGCCCACCACCACGCTTGGATAATTTTTGTATTTTTACTAGAGACGGGGTTTCACCATCTTGGCCTGGCTGATCTCAAACTTCTGACCTCAGGTGATCCACCTGCCTTGGCCACCCAAAGTGCTAGGATTGCAGGCATGAGCTACCATGCCTGGCCTTATTCTTTACATCTTTATATGATGTTACACATATGTATGTTTTTGTGTTTTTGTTTTTTTTTTAAGACAGAGTGTCACTCTGTCACCCAGGCTGGAGTGCAGTGGCACGATCTCGACTCATTGCAACCTCCACTTCTCGGGTTCAAGCAATTCTTATGCTTCAGCCTCCCAGGTAGCTGTGATTACAGGTGCACGCCACCATGCCGGGCTGATTGTTGTATATTTTGTAGAGACAGAGTTTCGCCATGTTGGCCAGGCTGGTCTTGAACTCCTGAGCTCAAGCACCCTGCCTGCCTTGGCCCCCCAAAGTGCTGGGATTACAGGCATGAGCCACCACGCCCGGCCCATATTGATTGTATAAATGCACTGTGGAAGTGGTTGTTGGTTATTATCAGTGAAATATCTGTTCTCTGCTCTATTCAGAGCCCGACTCTTTTTTTTTTTTTTTTTTTTTTGAGACGGAGTCTCGCTCTGTCACCCAGGCTGGAGTGCAGTGGCCGGAATCTCAGCTCACTGCAAGCTCCGCCTCCCGGGTTCACGCCATTCTCCTGCCTCAGCCTCCCCAGTAGCTGGGACTACAGGCGCCCGCACCCTCGCCCGGCTAGTTTTCTGTATTTTTTAGTAGGACGGGGTTTTCACCGTGTTAGCCAGGATGGTCTCGATCTCCTGACCTCGTGATCCGCCCGTCTCGGCCTCCCAAAGTGCTGGGATTACAGGCTTGAGCCACCGCGCCCGGCCAGAGCCCGACTCTTAAAACAGAACATCGCTGCCCCCTGAGAACTCTGCTTCTTCTTTAACCCTTCCAAGCAATGGTGGCTTTTTTTTTTTTTTTCTCTCCCACACAGCACTGGGCCTGAGGTTGGGGAAGGTGTCTTCCTTGATCATATTTATGGCTTCCAGACCACCTTTCCCTGCCAAGGGTGACTGGGGAAGTTAGTAGATAATTGTAGCAGGGGAGGAATAGCAGCCTCAGCGGAGCTGAGACTTTTTGGAAAAGGTATCAACACCTGGTTTACTGATTTTCTCTCTACCATAACTCTTGCTGTCATTCTTAAGGACTTTGCATACATATAGACAATTCATCCAAAACCATGGTTTCTTGGTTCTTTGATTTCTTCACTTTGATGCTTAGTTTATTTTAGGGATATATCATAGACTCTAAGCTGAGTAAGGAGAGAAGACAACGTATATAGGAGCAGTGATGGCTGGTGAAAAGTTTTGTGGTCAAGAAATAGAAGTCTTCGTGAAGTCAAAGAATAGTTGGATTGGGGTGAAACTGGAAAGATAAGGGTTGGTGGTCAGAAAGTGGAATAGGCTGGGCGTGATGGCTCAGGCCTGTAATCACAGCTCTTTGGGAGGCCAAGGCGGGCAGATCACGAGGTCAGGAGATCAAGACCATCCTGGCCAACATGGTGAAACCTGTCTCTACTAAAAATATAAAAATTAGCTGGGCGTGGTGGCTCATGCTTGTAATCCCAGCTGCTCAGGAGGCTGAGGCAGGAGAATCGCTTGAACCAGGGAGTCGAAGGTTGCAGTGAGCCAAGATCGTGGCACTGCACTCCAGCCTGGTGGCAGAGTGCAACCTCATCTCAAAAAAAAAAAGACAGTGGAATATTTGGAAATGAGATTTTTATAGGTAGGTACGGTATGTTTTTCTTCTTATGTATTAATTATATTTTTATTGATGATAGAAATCTAATATACCCAAAAGGATGGGATTAAAAACTAATTACATAAAACCCTTAATACTTAAAAATGCAATACCAGTGCCTATTTTATTTCTCTGTTCTCATACCAGAAATGAGAATTTGTAAAACACATTATTTCTTTTAATTTGTAAAGACCATCCTGCAGTAATTAATGAGATTTATTTGCTAAGAAGTCTTTACTAATCTGCGGGCAGAGATGTGGCAAATCACTTATCAAGATATATTGTAACAGTGAGAAAATCCAAAGAAAGGATTGTGCTGCAACTCCTTATCCAGTTTCTCTTTCATCCCGGACATCTGGAGTGTTTTCTGCTGATAGTAAATGAACTTTGTTTCATTACGTGTATGAGGTTTGACGTCTTCAAAATTGCCTGTATCTTATTTTCAGCCTGATCTCTGCCACTCTGACAGTGTCTGCTGTGCCATGCCTGAGCAGTTAGCTGTTCACAGCCTGGTGGCACACACCTTTACAACATACCTTTTCCCATAGCAAGTCAAACTTCATTAATAACAATAGTAGGATTTGTAAATAGTATTTTAAAAGAGATTATTGCTTATATGCTTCTGGTTTTTAAAACTCCTGGAGAAATCGTATGCTGTGATTGACCGTAGCTCTGTGTTTAATAGCAGATAATGTATGTAAGTCTAGTACTACACTTGCTCATTTACATGTATGTCTCACCAGATTTAGAACTTCTCGATGTTTAGGACCTTATCTTGTCTTAATATCTCCAGGGTGAGCCGAGAACGGTGTCTCATGCCTGGAATCCCAGCACTTTGGGAGGCTGAGGCAGGTGGATCACGAGGTTTCAGGAGTTTGAGACCAGCCTTGACAACATGGTGAAACCTTGTCTGTACTAAAAATACAAAAAAAAATTAGCCAGGCCTGGTGGTGTGTGCCTGTAGTCCCAGCTACTCAAGAGGCTGAGGCAGGAGAGTTGCTTGAACCTGGGAGGCAGAGGTTGCAGTGAGCCAAGATCATGCCACTGCACTCCAGCCTAGTTGACAGAGCAAGACTCAAAATAAATAAAAAATAAATAAATAAATAAATATCCCCATGCATAGTTCCTAGCATGTAGTAAATGCTCATTTTGTGTTTTTTTAAATTTTTAATTTTTTAAAATTTTTTATTTTTTTGAGACCGAGTCTTGCTCTGTTACCCAGGCTGGAGTACAGTGGTTCAATCTTGGCTCACTGCAAGCTCCGCCTCCCGGGTTCACGCCATTCCCCTGCCTCAGCCTCCTGAGTAGCTGGGAGTACAGGCACCTGCCACCAAGCCCAGCTAATGTTTTTGTATTTTTAGTAGAAATGGGGTTTCACTGTATTAGCCAGGATGGTCTCGATCTCCTGACCTCGTGATCCGCCCCTGGCTAGGCCTCCAAAGGCGGGATTACAAGGCCGTGAGCCACTGTACCCAGCCATTTCGTGATTATTTATTATTTATTTATTATTCTTATTTTTCTTGAGCGGAGTCCCGCTGTGTCACCCAGGACCTGGAGTGCATGTCGGCATCTCAGCCTCAACGCCAAGCCCCTCCCGGGTGTACCATTCCCCTGACTCAGCCCTCCGAGTAACTGCGATACAGGCGCCCGCCCACCACGCCCGGCTTAGTGTTGGTATTTATAGTAGAGGAACGGGGTTTCACCTGTAGCCAGGATCGGTCTCGATCTCCTGACCTCGTGATCCACCCGCCTCGGCCTCCCAAAGTGCTGGGATTACAGGCTTGAGCCACCGTGCCCGGCCTTCGTTTATTTTTTTAAAGACAGAGTCTTGCTCTATTATCCAGCGGGGAGAACAGTGCCATGATTATAGCTCGCTGCAGCCTCGAACTCCTGGGCTCAAACTATCCTCCCATTTCAGCCTCCTGAGTAGCTAGGACTCTAGGTGTGTGCCACCTATGTCCAGCTAATTTTTTACCCAGGCTGATCTCGAACTCCTGGCCTCAAGCAGTCCTCCTGCCTTGGCTTCCCAAAGTGCTGGGATTACAGGTGTGAGCCTTGTACCCAGCCTCATTTCATGTTTGATACTGAGTGAATTATTGAATTCATGAAATGGGCCATTCCATTTGGAGGTGGCTGGTTTGGTTTGGAAGTTTTTAATTATATTGAGCAGAGATCTAACTTCCTCTTCTAAACAGTAAGCTTTTCATATGCTTTGTGTACCACTCAGAATCATCATAATCCCTTTTCCTTGTATAGTTGTTTAGATATTTGAAAGCAGTTACTGGGTCTCATCCATATTTGTATCAGTTGTCACTCGTGTGACTTTGTTTTGTGTTCCTTTGCCATTCAGGTTGTATTCTTTGGCATACTCCAGTTTATCTATATTTCTTTTAAAATAACCTTTTTAGAACTGAACCTAAAACTCCAGATATGGTGTAACCAATATAAAGTAGGTTAGTCCTGTTAACATATGTCCTAGGTTTAATTATAACTCTTAGGTTATTTGCAGGACTCTGAAGATGTTTGTTGTGTTAGGTATCTAAAGTAATTTAACCAATAAGGGAGGATTTTTGCAGCTGCCTTGAAACTTGGGGTTAATCTTACTTCTGGATCAAAGCACAAATGTTTTTCTTACACACCCTGATTCTCTTCATCACAGCACATTACCTGACAAAGAGATGGGTGGATTCTGCTCTTATTGAAGCACTTTTTTCACATTTGTTCAGTTGTCAGGACAACCCTTAGCCAAGTTCCTAAAAGCTGCGATTGTAAACTTTGCTTTTTTTTTTTTTTTTTTTGAGACGGAGTCTCGCTCTGTCGCCCGGGCTGGAGTGCAGTGGCCGGATCTCAGCTCACTGCAAGCTCCGCCTCCCGGGTTCACGCCATTCTCCTGCCTCAGCCTCCCGAGTAGCTGGGACTACAGGCGCCCGCCACCTCGCCCGGCTAGTTTTTTGTTTTTTTAGTAGAGACGGGGTTTCACCATGTTAGCCAGGATGGTCTCGATCTCCTGACCTCGTGATCCGCCCGCCTCGGCCTCCCAAAGTGCTGGGATTACAGGCTTGAGCCTCCGCGCCCGGCCAACTTTGCTTTTTTTTAGGTACAAGATAGTCACTAGATATGTGCTAGGCTCAGGGTTTGATACAGGGATTGTGAAGAGCACAGGACTCTGCCTTTGGGAAACCGTGTGGAGTGTGCCTGCCCTTGGTGTGTGTGAAACTGGAGCGGGCCAGCTCCCCAGAGGAATCCTAGTGAGCCTCTTCCAAACCTTCCTGTCTGTTTTATTTCACTCGAATGTAGGAACTCTCTAGAGCAGCACTGTCCAATGGAAATATACTGTGAGCTACATCTGTAATTTGAAATTTTCGAGTAGCTACATTAGAGGAGTAAGTACCCAGAGGAAGTGATGTGGGCATTCCATGCCCTGCAGAGTCGGGCAATATCCAGTCATATTATTGTGCATACTAGGGAGAGTGGTCTGGGAAGTGAGGTCTGTCACCTTGGGGATGTAGACTAGCACACAGTGGCTAAAGCATGGCCCTGGAGCCTATTGCTTGAGTTTGAATTCTGGTTCTACTGCTTGTTTGCTGTGTGACCTTGGCAAGTTAGTTATTCAGCCTCACTGTGTCTCAGAGGGGATATTTCATAGTGTGGTTATAAAGATTAAGTAAGTTAATAGTGCTAAAGGGCTTAGAACACTGATTGGGTCATAGCAAAAGTGAAACGTAGGAGAGCAGTGTTTACTGCCATTCTTGTGGGGAGCAGAGATGTTCATTCTGAAAAGACTTGAGGGAATGCTTTGGTTCTTTTAAAGGGCTTTCATGTGGAGGAAGGATTTACTCTTTGTGATTCCAGATGGCATATCTGGAATTAACATGCAGGAGGTAGAAGAAGTCATTTTATAATAGAGCTGTTCAGAAATGTAACAGAGGGTCTCATGAAGTAGTGAGTTCAGGATCACTCAGAGTGACGCTAAAAGACTGATTGGCCGTTTGAATAAATTAGTCGAGCAAGGAGCTGTACTCCATTCTGTGTTTCTAATAAAGCCATTTTTGTTTAATCTCCATAGTCTTACGGTTTTTCCCTCTTGGTGTCATTGATTTATTTCACCTTCTATGAGGAATCTAGAAATACTGAAGTTTGTTCAGGGGAGGCAGTCCTTTATTGTGTCAAGTAACATATTTTGAAGTATACCATTTCCATAAATAATGTTGTCATAGATCTTAGGTTCTTTTTTTGCTTCTAAAAATATGGTTATGGAGGAAGTTCCTGTTAAAAAGCATTGTTCGTTTTTCCTGGCTTTGTGCTGTCTGTCTGTCTTCTCTAGCAGCAGTCTTTCCTGCCTGTTCACTAAAGGTTAGGCCATGTATATAAATTGAGAAGCATACCTAATTTAGCATATTCATTGAGAGAAGTTCAGCATTCAGTGTGATTGAGGCATGTTGCAAATGAGTTTAGACTTACCATTTAGCTTTACTGGAATTTAAATAACCAAAGTTCACATCAGTAGAATTTCCGTTAATTGACTCAAGTCCACCATGCCTCTAGGCTCCCCTGTATCTCTGGCTGTGGGTCCCATTTCAGACTGTCTCAAGTCTACGTTCTCGTTTGACCCCAAGCATGAATGTATACGAACATCGCAGCGGCTTCTCTTAGCTCCTGTGCAACTGGTTTCTTCCATCCAGGCCATTCTAGTTTGCTTTCTTTTCTCTTTGGCTTATAAGGTATTTATTAATTTCCCTGCTTTCTAGGCTCCCCTCATACGCAGGGATTTTTCCTGTCCCGGGCTCCGTTGTTAGCTCCTGGCTCTGGGCTCGTTAATTCACATCTGTTACACTCCTCTCAGGTTGTGTTCTTGAACTCTACACTCCCTCAATTCAGTTTTCCAAAAACACCATCTGTTGACTTTCTTTCTCCTTGTCCTTTTCTTTTTGAGATGGAGTCTCGCTCTGTCTCTCAGGCTGGAGTGCGGTGGTGTGATCTCAGCGCATTGCCGCCTCCGCCCCTGGGTTCAAGCGATTGTCGTGGCCTCTCAAAGTGCTGTGATTACAGGCATGAGCCACCGTGCCTAGCCTCCTTGTAATTTTGATATCTTCTCTCATGACTAATTCTAAGCCAGGATTCACAACAAATATTTTTGTTTTAAAAGCATTCTCTCTCTTCCCTATGGACTTAAACCATATTGTTTTGAGTACTTAATGATATCTCAATTAAATTTCTAAATTTCTTTATTATGGAAAATTTCAAACATATACAGAAGTAAAGAGTATAATGAACCCTCTTGTGCCCATCACCAGTTATTAACAGTTTGCTCTTCTTTTCCATCAATTCCCGCCCCCCCCCCTTTTTTTCTTTCACAAATTACATTGTGCTGAGAATTCTCCAGTCCAGTTAGCATGCACACACATTCCTCTCTGCCCACTAAAATCAGCTGTAGTCACTATTCAGGGAAGGTCATATTGTGAACATATGATCTTTCTTTAAGTCTTCTTAGCAGAGAGTTTCAAATAAATTGTCACTTTCAGTTGAGCACATTCATGATTCATTTTGTTTCTGCCTCAGTGGAGGAATAAATACAAGGGTTTAGGGTAGGGAACGTATATCTCATGGCCTATATCTGTCAAATGCCAATTAAGGATCCTGGCCCTCTAGTGACATTCATCAGATCACCTTAGTTCCCTCGTCTGTGAAAATGACATTGGATTATATAGTCTAAGTTTACTCTCTTAGCATTCAGTAATTGAAAGTTTAATAGAGGTTTGAGTTGAATTTTTGTCTTTTATAATTTAGCATTTTAGCAAAATTCAGCGTATTGATTTAGTTTTAAATGAGGAACCTAAATGATTCTCAGAAGACAGTGAATTTCTGATTTATCCATTATCAGAAAACTTTTCCTGTGTAGGATGAGAGAGTGAACATGGATGAACGTGTTAATATCTGCTTTTCCGTAGAGAGCCTCCTTTTCACCTGACCAGAAGAGGCTGGGGTGAGTTTCCCGTCAGAGTTCAAGTTCACTTTAAGGACAGCCAGAACAAGCGGATAGATATCATACATAATCTGAAGGTATTGTAACAAAACATCGCTCCCTAGTTTTGAAGTCTCTTTGTACCAGCTACAGTTGATCCTTGAACAACATGGGGGTTAAGGGCCCCCTCGCAGTTAAAAATTCATATACAACTTTAGACTCCCCCAAAACTTAACTATTAATAGCCTACTGTTGACGGCAAACCTTCCTAATAGTATAAACAGTCAACACATATTTTGTATGTTATATATATTATGGACTATATTCTTACAATAAAGTAAGCTGGACAAAAGAACTGTTATTAAGAAAATCAAAAGGAATAGAAAGTATATTTACTATTCATTAAGTGGCAGTGGATCATCTTCGAGGTCTTTATCCTCGCCATCTTCACATTGAGTAGGCTGGGGAAGAGGAGGGATTGCTCTTGCTGCCTTGGGTGGCAGAGGTGGAAGAAAATCCATATGTAAGCGGATCTGTGCAGTTCAAACCCATATTCAAGGGTCAACTGTATTCTTTTTTTTTTTTTTTTTGAGACGGAGTCTCGCTCTGTCGCCCAGGCTGGAGTGCAGTGGCCGGATCTCAGCTCACTGCAAGCTCTGCCTCCCGGGTTTACGCCATTCTCCTGCCTCAGCCTCCCTAGTAGCTGGGACTACAGGTGCCCGCCACCTCGCCCGGCTAGTTTTTTGTATTTTTTAGTAGAGACGGGATTTCACCGGTTTAGCCAGGATGGTCTCGATCTCCTGACCTCGTGATCCGCCCATCTCGGCCTCCCAAAGTGCTGGGATTACAGGCTTGAGCCACCGCGCCCGGCCTGGGTCAACTGTATTCAAAGTGGGAGTGTTAGGTCTTCTGCAAGAAGTGGCTAAGAATAGTTGGGGGTGGGGGAGATAGTATTTCTGAGTGTGTTATGCTTACTGCTACAACACAACTTTGTCCCCTGATGCAATCATCAGAGAGAGAATAACTACAGGACAATGTATATCCTTTAAGAAGATGAACAAAGTGGTCAGATAATCAGAATGCATGAATATTTGATCAGACCTCAACATCAGTGTGTTTCTGAGGGCTAAGTTACTGAATCTTTTTAAAATCTGCTTACTTTTCTATAAAGTGGGGCAAATAATAATGTTTGTAAAGACAGAAGTGAACATGTCTTGGAAATGATAAAGTACTATATAAGATTGTAATACTTTTGTATTATAAGAAATCCTTTAATGATGAATGTGGCCATGTGGTTTATGGTGCAGCCATTGTAAATTATATCTTATGAAGTGTTGTCTATCCACGGGGAGAACTGCCCTTATAGGAAGTGAAACGCAGAGTACAGGCATACTTTGTTTCATTGCACTTTGCTTATTGTGCTCAGTAGATATTCTGTTTGTAAAAAATGGAAGATTTGTGGCAACCCTGTGTCAGACAACTCTGTGAGCACCATTTTTCCAACATCATGTGCTCATTTGTGTCTTTCTGTCACATTTTGGCAATTCCTGAAATATTTCAAACTTTTTTATTATTAAATCTGTTTTGATGATCCTGTGATCGATGTTACTGTTATTTTGGGGCACGACAAACCATGCTCATATAGGAGGATGAACATAATTGATCAGTGTTGTGTGGATTCTGAATGCTCCAGCAACCAGCCATTCCCCATCTCATTCCCTCTTTTGAGGCCTTCCTATTCTCTGAGAACAACAGTATTGAAATTAGACTAATTAATAACCTTATAATGGCTTCCAAGTGTTGAAGTAGAAGGAAGAGTCACACATCTCTCACTTTAAATTAAAAGCTAGAAAGGATTAAGCTTAGTGAAAAAAGCATGCTGAAAGCCAGGATAGGCTAAAAGCGAGGCCTGTGTGCCAGACAGCCAAGTTGTGAATGCAAAGGAAAAGTTCTTAAAGGAAATTAAAAGTACTACTCCAGTGAACACACAAATGATAAGAAAGCAAAACGGCCTTCTTGCTGATTTGGAGAAAGTCTCAGTGATCTGTAGAGAAGATGATACAAGCCATAACATTCCCTTAAGCCAAAGCCTAATCTCGGGCAAGGCCCTGACTCTTCAATTCTGTGAAGTCTGAGAGGGGTAAGGAAGCTTCAGAGGAAAAGTTTGAGGCTGGCAGATGTTGGTTTGTGAGGTTTAAGGAAAGATGCCGTCTCCATAACATACAAGCGCAAGGTGAAGCAGCAAGTGCTGATGGAGAGGCTACAGCAAGTTATCTAGAAGATCCAACTAAGATCATTGATGAAGGTGGCTACACTAAACAACAGATTTTCACTGTGGATGAAACAGGCTTCTGTTGGAAGAAGATGCCATCTAGGACTTTCATAGCTAGAGAGAAGTCAATGCCTGGCTTCAGAGCATAGGATTGACTCTCTTGTTAGGGGATAATGCGACTGGTGACTTTATTTATTTTTTTTTATTTTTTTATTTTTTTTGAGACAGAGTCTTGCTGTGTCACCCACACTGCAGTATAGTAGCGTCATCTCGGCTCACTGCAACCTTTGCCTCCTGGCACCTCAGGGTAGAAATAGGGTTTCACCGTGTTGTCCTGGCTGGTCTCAAACTCCTGAACTCAAGTGATCCACCCGTCTCAGCCTCCCAAACTGCTAGGGTTACAGGCATGAGCCACTGTGCTTGGCCACAACTGGTAACTTTAAATTGAAACCAGCACTTATTTACCATCCAGTAAATCCTAGGGCCCTTAATAATGATGCTAAATGTACTCTGCCTGTGCTTTATAAATGGAACAGAAAAGTCTGGGTGATAACACATCTGTTTATAGCATGGTTTACTGAAAATTTTAAGCCCACTGTTGAGACCAACTGCTCCGAGAAAAGGATTCCTTTCAAAATATTGCTCATTGATAATTCACCTGGTCCCTTAAGAGCTCTGATGGAGGCCAGGCACGGTGGCTCACGCCTGTAATCCCAGCACTTTGGGAGGCCGAGGTGGGTGGATCACTTGAGGCCGGGAGTTCGAGACCAGCCTGGCCAACATGGCGAAACCCTGTCTCTACGAAAAATACAAAAAGTAGCTGGGCGTGGTGGGTCACACCTGTAGTCCCAGCTACTTGGGAAGTGCTGAGGCAGGAGACTCGCTTGAACCCAGGGGGCGAAGGTTGCTGTGAGCCGAGATCGCGCCACTGCACTCTAGCCTGGTGACAGAGCGAGAGTCCTTCTCAAAAAAAAAAAAAAAAAAGCTCTGATGGAGATGTACAGAAGAGATTTAATGTTGTATTTCGTGCCTGCTACACAGTATCCATTATCTGCAACCATGAGAATCAAGGGAGTACATATCAACATTCAAGTCGTACTGTTTAAGAAAATCGTATTTGTGCTGGCAGGCATGGTGGCTCATGCCTATAATGCCCAGCCCATTGGCAAAAAGGCCAAGGAGGAAGGATCTGTGTGCAGCCCAGAGTTTGAGACCAGCCTGGGCACCACATAAATAAGACCTTGTCCTCTACAAAAAAAAAAAAAATTCGCCGACCATGGTGGTGGCCATGCCTATAGATCCCAGCTACTTGGAAGCCTGAGGTAGGAGGAGGATCAGCTTCATGGTCCCCAGGAGGGAGCGCCTGCTGTGAGCCATGATCAAGCCACTGGCCCTCCAGCTTGGGTGAAGAGTCAAACCCCATCTCAAAACAAAAAAATAAAAAATAAAAAAAAGGAAAAAAAAAGAAATAAATTTGTAAGGATTATAGATGCCATAGATAGTGATTTTCTACAAGAGGATTTGGTCCAAAGTAAATTGAAAGCCTTCTGGAAAGGATAACCATTCTAGATGCCCCTTGAGAAACGTTTTTGTATATTCATAGTAGCAGCATTAACAGGAGTTGGACCGAACAATTTGATTACCTAGTGGGATGACTTAAAGTTTCAAGACTTCAGCGGAGGAATTGCTGCCAGATATGGTGGAAGCAGCAAGAGTAAAACGAAATTAGAAAGTAGAGCCCTGAAATCGTGACTGATTAGCTGCATTTTGTGTTTAAACTATTTAATTTTGCATGAGTGGCATTTCTTTTTTTTTTGTGTATTTGTTTTTGAGACCCGGGGAGTTTTGCTCCGTGCCGCCCGAGGCTGGGAGTGCAGTGGGCCCGGATCTCAGCTCCTGCCAAGTGCGCCTCGCTCCGGGTTTCACGCCATTCTCCCCTGCACCCAGCGCGCACTCCAGTTAGCCTGGGACTAAACAGGCGCCCCCGCCCACCTGCCATCGCCCGGCTAGGTTTTCTTCTGTGTTTTTCGTTAAAGACCCGGGTTTCCACCGCATGTCTACCAGCTGATCGGTCTTCGATCTTGTGACCTCGTGATCCACCCGTCTCGGCCTCCCAAAGTGCTGGGATTACAGGCTTGAGCCACCGCGCCCGGCCGAGGATTTGCTTCTTATGGATAAGCAAAGTAAGTGGCTTCTTGAGATGGAATCCACTCCTGGTGATGATACTGTGAACACTGTTGAAATTGACAACAAAGGATTTAGAATATTGCATAAACTTACTTGATAAAGCAGCTGCAGGGTTTGAGAAGATTGACTCCAGTTTTGAAAGAACTTGTGGATAAAACACTGTCAAACAGCATTGCATGCTACAGAGAAATCTTTCAGAAAAGGAAGAGTCAGTCGAGGTAGCAAACTTCATTGTTGTCTTGTTTTAAGAAATTGCCAAGGGCCGGGCGCGGTGGCTCAAGCCTGTAATCCCAGCACTTTGGGAGGCCGAGATGGGCGGATCACGAGGTCAGGAGATAAGACCATCCTGGCTAACACGGTGAAACCCCGTCTCTACTAAAAAATACAAAAAACTAGCTGGGCGAGGTGGCGGGCGCCTGTAGTCCCAGCTACAATAGAAAAAAATTTAGCCCGGCGCAGTGCGGCCCGGCCTGTAGTCCAGCTACTCGGGAGGCTGAGCCAGGAAGAATGGCGTGAACCCGGAGCCGAGCTTCATGAGCGAAAATTAGCGCCACTGCACTCCACCTGGGCACAGAGGCAAACTCCGTCTCCAAAAAAAAAAAGAAATGTCTTTCCCCACTATACAAATTAAACATGGGC